CCCCCCCCGCGCGCGCGTTACGCGCGCGTTACGCGCGCGTTACGCGCGCGCGCCGCGCGCATGTAACGCGCGCGCCTTATTTCGCGCGTAACGCGCGCGCGCGTAACGCGTTATAACGCGCGCGCGTAACGCGCGCGCGCGCGTTACAGTTTTTGCACCTTAGAAAGATGAAAAATTATAGCTTAATAATAGATTCTGTACTTATATACCTTTTACCTAACCTTATACTTTTTCTTCCTAGTTAGCTTGGCTCCACCCGTAGTATCAAGAACTACGTCCCGCTAACATGAGGCGCAAGCAGAATAGTTGCTATCACGTTTCTCGAGGGATTGTAGCGGAAAAGGCGAGAAGGATGCGCTCATGCAGTCGGCGCTGTTCTGTTATTATGGAAGGAAGTGCTGATGTCCGAGTAGGAACAACCCGTCTTGATGAAGAACTTCATATTTGATAAAACTGATGACGATCTTTTCTTTACAAGCATGCTTCTAACTAATTAGAATATCAATTAATATTATGGGCAGCATAATAACTCTCTAGCAATGAAAGAATGCCAGTTGATTCGGATAATTATTTCTCTCTTGCATTGCTTTGGAAAAATGGAAACTTGGAGTGCTTCGAATTTATTGATTACATATGGTTACATATTTAGACTAGCTGGCTCTAATTCTGTTGCTGTCGGTCTGACGTCCCGTCTCGCGCTGGCTTTACAGCAGGACGCGGAGCAGCCTGGTAAAGAAATACCAGCGTCGATGGAGGAAAACGTGGACAGCGATGGCGACACTGACATCGACTTTGAAGATGCAGAAGCGGTCCTTGCGGGTGGAGATAGCGGCGAGCCTGAGTCGTTTCTCAGTGCCGAGGCATGGGCAACAAGCCAGAGGCAGAGTACGAAAAACATGGCAGGGGATTTCATACCTACTTTTCCCTGTTCTTTCCAGCGTTCGAAAGATCCGGAAGTTGGCTCTACATCTCCCGCGGGAAAACCCGGTATATCACATCCATATCGATTTTTGTTCCAAACTACTTTTTTGTAGAAATAACTTTTCTCCTGAGCATTTACACTTGTCAGAATGTACCTTCGATTATTTACTCATCTGATATCTGGAGCTATGCAACCGACATGCAGTCCTCGAATTTCTAATAGAACGTTTGTAAACGAGAAGATGGTAAATATCGGTGAAGGATCCATGTTCGACATACGACCACTCTCCAGGTTCATCGCCTGAGGCGTTTCTGGAGACGACGGAAGCATCAGTGGGACCATTGCCAAAGGCTAGTGATGATCTCTCCGAGGCGCCGGGTGTTCTTGCGTCAGGTACTTTAGCATGCTGTGGCGGAGCGTTCCCAGGCCCGTCGACAGTGGCGGTCGCGTCTTCGTCTGAGGCAACTTCTGCAGCAGCGCCGTCCGAGCCGCCAGTGACACCCTCACCCCCCGCAGCAGGCCCAACGGCACCTTCACCACCCGGAGTAGCCGAGCAGCAAGGTATTCGTTACTGTGAGGTGCCGAAGATCCTTTTCTCCAGGGAGAAGGGCCACACTTCTCCGGTGTCGTACCGGGTACTTGATCCTGTGGTTAAGAATCGCAAATGCACTTCCCTGAAGATCCTAAATTCCTCAAGTTTTTAAGATCGCTGGCTCAAGTGGTTCGAAAGGAGACCGAAGATCGATTTAATTTAGTTGGTTCCTTATGCTGATCGGAATGATCACTATATTTTTTTCTTCGGACTTCCGTGGAGGGTTAACAAAAAGCGCCTGTTTTTGTATACCCTCCCCGAAGTTCTTCCAAAAATTTGATCATTTGCATACGGTCGCACTAGGTTCCGTCAGTAATTAACGTTGCTTCTTCTTTCCTCTTTTTGGCCTCTCTTGACCATTTTGAACATGGTCAAGCGAGACGAATCGTTTGAACTTTCTTTCTCCTTCACTACGAGCCATTTTGGCTCAAGATTCGACACATTCTTGACAGGATTTGAAGCGCCGTTAATGGCCTACTTTGCATTCATTTGAACCGAGATTCGAAAACAAAAACAAACTTCAACCCCTTGAAAACTCCCACTATTATCAATTCTTGAACGTGTGTTCTTTTTCTTTGGTAGAAATTTTCGGTCCGGGAAGCTGCAGTAATCTTCTTTCATTTTGGTGGAGAACCTGGGCAATTATCTTTCTCAATTTCATATCCCCGACCCCCTAGAACTAGGACTAGTTTAGAACTAAAAATGGTGCCGCAAAGCCAAGACAACGGAGGGGAGAAACCCTTCCAAAACGCTCAAGGAGGAGCAGCAGAGCACTCCGAAGCTCAACGCGGTGGGCCGCAACCTATCCGCACTTCCTCCGCAACGTCTTCTGGGAGTATTTTTGACGTGACTGGGCGCCGATTTCGTCGCGGTGGAACTCGTTTTGAGCACTCGCAAGAGCTACCCACAGTTGAGGAGATCGAGCCTTCGGAATCGAGTGTCGGCGCAGCCAGTGCCGGCGCGGAATTGATTGGGAAAGAGCTTGGGGAACGTGCTGTGGCAGCAGGAGAAGCAGCCGGGCACGCCGTAAAAGCGGTTGGAAGCTTCTTTCAGGGATTCTATGCCACTTTGACCAAGGAGGAACCGCAGGAACAACCGTGGCGCCAGCAAGCTGCGGCAACTTCTTTTCAACAGACACCGGAGGCGGAAGAGCACTTCAGCGAACGTTACAACCGTCAGACCAGCCCGCTTTTCACGCCGGAGCGTGGTGGCCGCAATTTGATGGAAGGAAATGCCGCTCGTTTTGGTAAGGCTATGTATCCGGAGCAGCAACAAGAAGAGCAGTTCGAAGACCTGCAACCGCAGCACAGGGAGGCCCGACACGGACCGCCGACGAAAAACCTTTGGCCATCGTCGCTTGAACCGAGTCTGTTTTCTATGCCGACCGGGGACGCCGGAAAGGGTCTCGCCGATTTCTTTACAGGCATGGGAAAACGAGCAGAAGCAGCCTTCTTTGAACAGGAACCGAAAGCGCCGAACCCGTTCTGCGATGAGGAGCAGGAAGAACATCGCCCCGCAAGTGGTCTTCTTCATCAGTTCCCAACAGCCCGCGAAACGTTACAAAGAGCCGCAGAACAAGAACAGCACTTCTACCATCCGCCTGGAATGATGGACATGGAGCAGCAGCACCAGCACGAAGAGCAGTTCAAGAGCAGCAACAAAGCCGACGGATTTGAGCAAGACAAGCAGCGCACGCACCTGGAAGAGTACTTCAACAAGATGCAGCAGAAGCAGAAACAAGACAGCGAGTTACAACACGAAAAAAGCACCACGAAGAGCCCGCCTTTGGGTGGCTTCCCTTTGCCTCCGAGGTGGGCTTTTGAAATCGTTCGGGAACTCGAAGTGTCGGGCGCTTTGCCTGATATCGTCCGCACCATAGACAGCACCGGAAAAGCAGGCGAGGTAGTCTGGAGTGGTCTAACCTATTCGGACTTCAGCGGCCTGGCTCGGGAGCACATCAAGGAAAAAGTTCGGAAAGCCGTTTCGCGCGTTTATGGTTCTGGAAGTGTTCGCGTGGAGTTGCGTGCCGGTTCGTTGATTGCAGATTGGCAGTTCGGTTCGTTGAATGGCAGCGGTGGAGCTTTCGCAAAACCTCATCTGCCGCAACTTAAGTTCAAAGCGGTCAGACAGGCGGAAGCAGTATTGGAAATTGTGGAAAATCGTCAGCCGTTGAAACAGTACCAGGCGGAAAAGATGTTGCGGCACGCTTGGAACGGAATGCAGCTTGGGGACGTCGCCAACGGCATCAAAAAGCGCACTGCAAGAACGCTTGCGAACTTCGACGCGGTACAAGATTCCGAGGGGCTTTACCACGCTGCTTTCAATGATTTCGTCGACCAACTTCGTTTAGAATTCGGAATCACAAACCAAGCTGCGATCTCCACGCTGGAAGGGCTTTTGAGCGCAGTCAAGTACACGATCGCAGGAAAGGAGCAGGGCGCAGCCCTTGTTGCCTTCGTAAGTTCCTATCGTGTTCATTTCGAATTGCTCATGGAGGAACGCAGAGAAACCGGCAACACGTTTTTCACCTTGTCAGATGTCGATGGCAGCGACATGGAGCGCAAGAACATGGTGAACAACTTGAAGTACCGCAGCGGCTTGCCGATTTGGATCGTAACCAAAATTGACGACTACTTCGGGGACCGCGGAGACACGCTTGAGAGGCAGTCCTTGCAGGCAATTCTATCGCGGATTGCGATCACCGGCCAAGCAGAGCAAGCAAAACAGCAGCAGCAGCGCCCCGTCGGTATTCCGCCGGAACCAACGTTGCGAACACTAACAGGAAACCGAACCGACGAGAGCAAGTTGGGAGCGATGACCCCGCAGGCAGTGTTAGAAGAGCAGAACAGGCACACGACAACGCAGACGCAAACGGCGACCCGACAACCAGGAGCGACAGCCGAAGGAGCTGGGTGCGGTGGGAACCATCGATACATCCACCACGCAAAGTTCAACAAACGCGTAAACGCCATCGAGCGGCGCGCCGGAACCCCGCTTGCAGTAGGCTTTTGCAGCTATTGCCAGAAGCACCACAAGACCACCGGAGACCCCGCCGACATCCTCTGCCCCGACAAGATTGCTGCCGAGGATTCACGTGAAGGGAATGGTCTGCGTTGTAACATGGCTTGCGCCCCGTACGAGCACAGAGAAGATTTGACCGAGATGCCGACGCGTCGCTTCGGTGCGATGAACAGCGAGCAGCAAGACCAAGAGCCGCAACAAGAGCAAGCGCAGGAGCAGAAAGCCGAAGAGCTGAAAGCAACAGAGCAGCAACCACAAGGCAGCAAGCGTCACGGCGAAGCAGATGCAGAAGGCTGGCAAAAGGTGTTAGCAGGTGCGAAAGGAAAGTGGAAGGCGAGCGGAAAGGGCTTTAAGGCGATGAACAGCATGAAGGCGCCCGCGGCGGTCTTCTTGCATATCACCGAAGGCGAGTTGAAAAGGTACGCAGGTGGCGCGGCGATTGATAGCCGTCACGAGTGGCGTCCGGTCTTCTTCGAACCTCGTGAACCGCTTGTCTTCACATTAAAAGTTTGCACAGCATACGCAGAACAGCAAGGAGCGTTCGCGGAAGTCGATGCGACGCTGGGTTCGTTGAAGTTCTCGCGCGCGCTGGCGTTTGAAGAGGTGTTCGAGGTTCGCAACGCAGAAACCGGAGAAAGGGTTCAGAACGAAGACGCAGGGCCGCCGGTTGTGGGTTCTTTTAAACAGCTGAAGGAAACGAGAAAGCCGCTGACCCCGTTGGGCGTAGTGCACGTTAAGGGAGCTCCGGTCGAAGCCTTTTTCGATAGTTGTTGCTTGGTTGGAGCAGAGGAAGAGGGCCGAATTCTGATCGATGAGACCTTCTTTGAACAACTTCGAAAACGCAGCCCCGACGCAATTCGCAATCTTCGCGAAGTTGGTAGAGATGTAGTTCAGCTAGGAGCCGCAGCACACCAGGTTCCGTACGTTCGTCGGCTTGTCGAAGTCCTCATCACTGTCGCCGAAAACAAGAAGCGGCAACAGTCTATGTGGATTCCCTTTGCGGTAGTTCCGTGGCTGTGTGTTGGTGATAACATGGCGTTTGGCCTTCGTTATTTCGATGAAGTGTTCGGTGTTAAGTACGAGCCGAAGGCGCTGAACCTCACGAAACTCAGCATCTCAATCCCGAGAGGAATGGGAAACTACGAGGCCTTCGGAGCCATGAAGGAGGAGGAGAAAGCGAACGAGCAACAAGCAACGCAGGAGCAGCAAGAGCAGGAGCAGGAGCAAGAAGAGCAGCCAGAACAGGAGGAACAGGCCGAAGAAGAAGAGACCGGCAACGAGACGTCTGAGAACGCTGCATCAGACTCGGAGGAGACGCCGGCGGGCGTCTGACTGAGCTCCACGAAAAAGAGGAAAAAGCCGAGCCAGAAGGGCCGGCAGCGAGCTTTGAAGAAGGTTAAAGCGGTGGAGGGAACTTCAAAGCAGGATAGGACACAGGGGACGAAGAAGCGAGAAACGAAACCGGCAGCGAAGAAAGCCGGCAAGAAAAGAGCCGAACAAGAAACGACAGAAACCGAACAGACGGAGCAGAACCCGGAGGAGGCCACCGGGGACGCAACTCAGGTTGTGCAAAAGATTCGAATACCTTCTGAAGACGTAGTGCGGCTGCTTGTGCATATCGACTTCATGAAACTCTGACCCGGGAGGGCGTATTCTTTGACAGCGCGGCAAGGATGTGGGGTTGATCTGAGCCCGATGCCGATCCTGCTCCGCAAAGAAGTAGAGGGCGTTCCGATCGTTCTCGAAGCTTCGCACGATTCCAGATTCAGCAGGAGTCTCAGCGTCGAACAGCTAGTAGTGCGACAAATTTGCGATCGGCCTTTGTCCCAACAAGAAGTCGCGGGCGCGGTGCTTGGTGTTGAAAAGCTCTTCGGAGATAAGTCGGCGCCGCTGTTGGTCGAGCAGCAACGCAAGGAAGCAGAAGGCAGGTTCTCTATATGAATACGTGTGGCGCTGCTGGGGACGAAGATGAGCCAGAACAACCACAACGAGGGCGGAGCAAGTTCATGAACGCGAAGTACAAAAAAGAGGCACGAAAGAACCTTGACCCAGCCGAAGAAGAAACAGCAATCTGCGAGGAGATTGCCAGCAAGAAAGCGAAGCGGAAAGGAGGTTCCGACAAGATTCCGAGAGACAGCGAGGAGTGGCGCAAGCGAGTCCGAGAAGCACAAGAAGAAAAGCAGAAGGACGTCCCGGAGCCTCTTCGGACTAAGAGCATCGATAAGATTACGAGAAACGCCGAGTACTTGCACGACGACGGGGCAGAATTTCCATTGTTGAAAGGGATCCGCGCTTCGCACAAGATCAAGAGGTCAGCACAGTGGAAGTTGCAACAGCCCTACAGCCTAAATTTTTTGGATTCGATGCGGGTCAGTTTTCTAATTAAAGAACACATCTTCGAAGACAAGATCAGGCACCACGACGTGAAAAACGAAGCGCCGCCGCCGATGACTTCGCCAGTTTTTTTAGCTTGCCGGCAGAAGAGGACACGTCGTTCGCAGAGTCGTTGTTGACTACCGAAAATACAACGAGCAGGTCGAGGATTATCGCATGGCAATGCCACGTGCTGACAAGATCTTCAAGAACTTGCTGAGCGGGAAGCCGAAGTGGTTCGTCGTCTTGGATTTGGCGATGGGCTATAGTCAGATGTTGTTGGATCCAGAGACCGCAGAATGCCTCTCCTGGTCAACGTCTGAAGGGATCTTCATCCCGAAGCGCTTGCCGTTGGGACCGAAGTGGGCGCCAGCGTTTTTTCAGAGCCACACGCAGCGAGTTTTCGGAACTCTTCAGCGGTGCAGTGTTTTCGTCGATGATCAATCTTTGCTTCTCCGCGTCTTCAGATGAAGAGCTTCTGCAGCGTTTAGACGCGTTGTTCGATAGGTGTCGGCAATCGGGTTTCTGTTTAAGTTTGCGCAAGTCCGTGTTTGCAGCACGCTCCGCCGAAGTATTGGGATTTGGTGTCTCTGCTCAAGGAAGAACCCCGACCCCGAAAAAGCGGGAGGCTTTACAGAGGTGGCCGCATCCGAAGACCGCAGAGAACTTGAAGTCTTTGGTCTGCTTCGCGAATTACCACAGGGAGTTCATGCCTCGCCTGCCGCAAATTGTTGAACCGCTCCGCAAGTACATAGACAAGAAAACGCTTCTCAAGCATTTCGAAACCGACGAAGAAGCGCTGCAACACGTGGAGGAACTACGACACGCACTTGGCGCGGAAGCCTACTAGGTTGACCTAGATGCGGAAGCGGCTTTGAACTGGCGCGAAACCGGCAGGCCCGCCCGCCTGTTGAGGTTTTTTGTGATGCTTCAGAGATTTCCGAAAGCTTTGCTGTTTGTCAGAGGAAGGAGCCGCACGGACGTCCCTTTCCGATCTGTTTCAAGGGTCACACCTTTAGCGAGCAGGAACGAAACTGGTCAACGATGGAGGAAGAGGCGCATGCGATGAAATTTTTCAGCGAGGAAGGCGTACCGGAATTCGATCGATTTGCGATCCTTCTTTACTTCGATCACAAGAACAACGGCACAGCGGAGATGGGGGCCCTTTTTGCCAGCCAGAGGGTCGCAGAGAAGGTTCGTAGATGGATCGGGGAGCTTCCTTTATGACAACTTCGCCCGTGGCAACGTTATTCGTTGTTTTCTTCCTGGTCAACGCAACGTCTTAGCGGATGCAATCAGCCGCACTCGGTGGGGCGATGCTGATGATGATGCGGCAGCCGTTGCCGGTCAAGAATGAAGATGGCATCGACGGACGCGTAGGCGAGTTTATTCATTTCCTTTTCGAGAATCCGGAACAACGTGTAGGACAACAAGAAACAGGGCCAGAGCAAGCGAAAGCTACGAAGCTTGCGAGAATGACTTCTGGGATGCGTGTGCCTGAGGTGATTGAAGCGCTTTGCAATGCACCAGAAAAGTTAGAAGGAGCATGCTTTGCGGCATATATGAACAACTACGCCCCTTTGCTGTCGCAGTTTCGTGCGCAACGTGCAGCACCAGTTGCAGACCTCGAGTTGAAGCGGTACCACTCAACTTCAACACGCTCAGAAGCTTGGCACCTCGAAGCAAAAAGTCGGCTGAAGAAGTTGTCTTGGCCAATGGTCAGTCGCGTAGGATGCAGAAAGTACCGTAGGACCGACTTGGAGGCGCGTAGAGCTTTAGTTCACGCCTTTCGGGAGTGGTTGGCAAGTCTCTCCACAACGCACGAGAGCAGCTTCCGCGTCTTCGGCTTTATCCCGGAGGATTGTTTAGAATTCGAGGAGACGAACGAGGAACAGCGACAAGGCACCTCGAGAACGATTCGGGACTTTGACCCCACGAAGATGACGATCGACGACCCAGAAACGACTTGCGGCGCGCCGCTATGATTGGAGACACATGCAACCAGGGACGGTTACTCTGATCACGACTATCAGCGTGGTTGTATGTGCCGCCAAGTCTTCGCGACACCGAACGAACAAGAACCGAAAGGGCAAGACGACGACAAGAGCAACGACCCGAACGAGCAACAAGACAGCGCGCTGAAGGATAGCAACGGCAACGACAACGACGAGCAGCAAGCCGAAGCGAGGGACCTAGCAGAGCAGGTTCCAGAACCAGAAAACGAACAAGAAAACGAAAACGCAGCAGCCGAAGAAACAGCAGAGCCGAAAGCGATTTTGCTAGACTTCGCAACGAGAAGTCTCAACGGAGACAGCACCGAAAACATCCGAACCGAGGATCTCTATGCAGCCTTGTGGCGCGACAACGTGTTGACAGGCTTGGAAGTTTTTCGCAAGTGGATTTTTGCGCCGGGGCGGTTTTTAGTTTGGCCAGCAAGTTGGGGAACAGTTCGTGTTGTCCTCTTCTACCGAGCTGGGCCGAAACGGGTTAGTTTGCAGAGTACGACACGGAAGGCCGATGGAGCTACTGAAGGAGGCTTCCGGATCGTCTGGCACGGTGTCCGAGGATACGACGTTTTGCGGTGCTCTTTTGATGGGCAAGAAGCGTTGCTTACAGTGCATCGCAAGCGGCGCAGCTTCAGGCCCACGACTAGAGGTTGCACAAGAACAGCGGCGCGACGAATACTGTGGGCCTATATTACAAGCACTTGCAGAGCGAGACGAAAAAGCCAGCGAAGACTGGAAACAGGGAGTCCGGCGAAGCATAGTTGGCACGAGAGCGGAAGCGAGGAAGCTGATCAGAAGGATCGAAAAAGGCGAGTTCAGATTCGACGACGATGGTTGTTTGCTTCAGAAGGTCCGCGGAATCTGGTGTACCATTGTGCCAGAGGTTTTGCGATTGAAGATTCTCAAGGAAAGCCATGACCAGCACCACGGGACTTTCAGTGCAACTTTGGAGCGACTGAGGCAAGAAGAAGAACGTGTCTGGTGGTTTGGCATCGAGGAAGATTGCGAAGATTTTTGCGATCGATGTTCGCTGCCTAGTCTGTGGAGTTGAGCGAGCCAACGCGAAGACCGACTCTGTCTTCTATCAGGATACCGCCCGGCGCTTTGGTGATAAGTTCTTCATCGATCACCATGGTCTTTACGCAGAATCCAAGCGCGGAAACAAGTACTATTTTACCGTCGTCGACTTTGCAACTGGATATGGATGGTTATTCGCAGTTCGCAGCACCGACCTGAAATACGTCATCGCCTGCCTCGATGAAGTCTTCAAGGATCAAGGGTTCCCAAACGGAATTCGCTGCGACAACGGGGGCGGGGGACGTGGCGGACTTGTTGCAAAGTTGTGTCGCAGATACCGCATTCGATTCAAACCAGCTTCGCGAGAGAATCCACGAGGCCAATGGCCAATCGAGTTTCCCCACAAGGAGACGCGCGCCTTTCTAGCTACTCGGATGAGATTCAGCAGCAAGAAGAACACTTGGGACAACGAGCAAGACGATTTACAGTGGCACTGGAGAACGACCTCACGACCCGCATGGGGCTACAAGTCTGCCCATGAATTCCGCTTCAACGAGAAACCTCGCTTACAGCTATCCGCAGTTGCAAAACGATTCGAAGACGACGAAGACCCGACCGAAGGTACGTGGGACCGACTAGACCACGACACGCGAGCCGCGGAGGAGATGTTAGCGAAACACAAAGCACGACGTGAACGGACTTTCTTCCTCAACGACGAGGCGCAAGCAGCCAGCAGGCAGGGCACGAGCGACGGAGAGTTCAAGGAAGGCGATGTGGTTTACTATCGGCATGCACGAGCAGAAGTTAAGCGGAAGGACATGCTTACCGGTGTGAACATCGCTTGCCTGTACATGGTGAAGCAGAAGCTGAACCCTATCTCGTATTTTCTGGTCGATTGGCGTGACAGTCTAACAGCGATTACATTCGTGCAGCGAGTACATCGGAAGGTCTTGAGCGGTGCCGGAATACGTGTTGAAGATTTTCTAGTAGACATCAGGAAACGCTTCTGGGCTACTGCTGAGAAGGTCGGCGTGGGTGTCTTTGTAAAAAGCTATGACGCATTCCGACTAGACATCAGGAAACGCTTCTGGGCTACTGCTGAGAAGGTCGGCGTGGGTGTCTTTGTAAAAAGCTATGACGCATTCCGACTACGATACGCATACGAGAAAGACGGCGAAGAGTACGTAGGAAACAAGGAGCAAGTAGAAGGGTTTTGCTTAGGTCTTCGGGATGGTGCACTGGGGACGGTTTGTGGTTAAGAATCGCAAATGCACTTCCTTGAAGATCCTAAATTCCTCAAGTTTTTAAGATCGCTGGTTCAAGTGGTTCGAAAGGAGATCGAAGATCGAATTAATTTAGTTGGTTCCTTATGCTGATCTGCGTGATCACTATATTTTTTTCTTCGGACTTCCGTGGAGGGTTAACAAAAAGCGCCTGTTTTTGTATACCCTCCCCGAAGTTCTTCCAAAAATTTGATCATTTGCATACGGTCGCACTAGGTTCCGTCAGTAATTAACGTTGCTTCTTCTTTCCTCTTTTTGGCCTCTCTTGACCATTTTGAACATGGTCAAGCGAGACGAATCGTTTGAACTTTCTTTCTCCTTCACTACGAGCCATTTTGGCTCAAGATTCGACACATTCTTGACAGGATTTGAAGCGCCGTTAATGGCCTACTTTGCATTCATTTGAACCGAGATTCGAAAACAAAAACAAACTTCAACCCCTTGAAAACCCCCACTATTATCAAATCTTGAGCGTGTGTTCTTTTTCTTTGGTAGAAATTTTCGGTCTGGGAAGCTGCAGTAATCTTCTTTCAATCCGAACTTGGCCGTCAGCCCTTCTGATAGAAGACAGATAATTGTCAGGACAGAGGAGGTTCCACTATGTCTCAACCTCAAAAAGCAAGGGGCGCCCTACTATAGCTCTAGCGCGCCGGCGAAGACATGGGTGGGGGCGAACCGGCTCTGGCTAGACGGTTTTCTATACAGCAGGAATGTTCTGGATTCACAAAAAGACGGTCCTGACCTCTGGCGAGAGGGCAAAGTTGAGCTTAAGAAAAGGACTTTCAACAATCGAATGACACAGTACTATCAGATGTTGCTTCAGTATTTATGCATTTGAGTATTATGATCTCATTCAAAATGAAATCAATCTGACCTTCTTGATGTTGGTGAGACACGCGAGTGAAGCTCTTTACATACTTATCCGCGCATGACCTGTTTCGTCATGCCAGAGATTTGATAGCACACACTGCAGCCCTAATCTCATCGAGGATGGCAAAGTTGGAGAGTGCGTACTGGTAGAGGATGAGGAAGGCGGCTGCATGAAGACAATCTTTCAAGAAACGACAACGAGTATACAATCACAGCCCGATGCCGCAGCGGCAGAAGGTTCAGACTCGTTCTTTCTGTTTTTTCTCGATGCATGAGAAAACGTCTTACAATATGCGTTGCAGGTGTTCAATTGCGAACTTCACTAAATGACCATACTTGGGTGTGTGCTTACTGTCTGTTCGCTACCAGCTTTAGTACCACCAAAACCGAATATGACTGAACTAACTCACTTTTTGTGATCCCGAAGTGCTCCACTTCAAATCCGATCTAACCAGGCTGGTGCAAGCCGCCGGAGATGGTCGTTGCTGAGAGTCAAAGCGTGGATCACGTTTATCAGCTATGGAACGTGTCCGAAGACACCAAGAGGAGTATCGCTATGAGCGTGGCCATGGAGCGCCAGGGAGAGCCGGAGGCCCCACTGCACACATGCCTGAACACACCGGAGATGTACAAGTTCCTTAAATGTGAGGAAGTATATCCAGGGTCAGCGTCAAGGTTGGGGTCGTGCAGGGATGTATTGGAGAAGGTCAATGGAATGGAAGGAGCAGGGGTTCCGAAGCTCATAATCAGTACGGAAGCCACACGTAGTGGCACCACTCACCGGTTTGTGATGACACCGAAGATGGAGGCGAAGGACGCGAAGCAGTTTTGGAGAAAAGAAGGGACTCTCTGCAATATTATGATGAGGCACACCAACTGCTGACTCCCATTTTAGAAACTGCATTACTGTGCGTCCCCATTTGTCAGCTTTAACTTTGCGGGAAAAGCGTCAACGACGGCTACTCCGGCTACTGGTTACGAAATTATCGCTACGGCACTAGCTGCTGTCGACCCAGCGGCCTTTTGGGAAGTTAATCGCGTCAAGAGCAACAGCGAATACTTTCCTGAAGGGCATTGCGCATGGATAGAAGATCAAGAAAATAGATGCAAGAAAACCGTTTGCGAGCCATCTCAGTAGCGATGACAGAAGCAGTGGACAGGAGTCGCGATGAGGTAGAAAAAACATCCATTCATATTCTCTGATTTTGATGTTGTAGTGCAACGACCGCAAACAGATAAGTTATCCCACTTAATCTCCCTCGAACTTAGGATGAATACACTCAAGAACAACAAATGAAAACTTCTATGAGCAAAATGATCGCGAACAACATGATCACTTTTCTGAGACTAAGGATGAAGCACGCTCTGCAATAAATCATGAAACTCGATCACCTCTCCAGGTTTTTCGGAAGGCGTTGTTAGCTCACAGAAAGCCAGGAGTATGTGTGAGCAGAGGAAGGATAGTGCATTGGGGAAAATTAGGTTAAGAATGTGTCATTGATGTGGTGACTGAAACTCGAGCTTGTGCATGTTGGAAACATCTGATATGATTGATCAATGTCACAAATTGAAGAAGATGATGATTAGGAAATGTGTGGCTCGTACGTAGGAATCTTGTATGACTAGGACAATGATTGTAGCAGCACGACCACCATCAAGCAGATGAAGCGATAAAATGGGAACCAATATTATACTCGAGCAAATAAATTGTACGACCCAGAGCTGCAGCAACCGTTGCAAGAGTGTATCTTATCAACTGAGAAAGCTAGGGTATGTCCTCTTCGTCCTCGTGTTAGTTCGCATGTGTGGTAGTTTCCTTGTGTGAAGCGAGGGTTCTCTCTTAGATCTTAGTATGACTCCACCAGAACGGTAGGTGTTATCAACATTGATGTGTGCCTTGAACTGATGAAAGCGTAGTAGACCATTTTGATGTATCAAATTCGAATATCAGGATATGAAGTTCAAATATGAAAAATCTGAAATTCCAACGAAGAAGCGTTGGAACCCTAGAGCACAAACAAGCAAAAGTATATCGTTTCGATTTCTCCTTGTAGTTTTATTAGCTATGTACAGAGTGGTCGGTCTCAGATGACAATGCCGAACTGTAGCTGGACTTTCACCTAGATCAAACATTTAGATATTGATTAGAGATAGGAAATGCAAGACTTCAGAAGCTTAGTTGTTCAACAATCGAAAGTCACCTACGATGATTGATGTAGTACCTATTAATGTTTCCGAGAAAGTATGATATTATTCTACTGAAAAAGAGCACAAGAATGAAGACCTCCAGCGACAAGCTAGCACAGGGAAATAGAAGTAAGCTGTATATTGCAGGAGAACCGAACCTGTTCACAAGAAATTATAACAATGTCAGACTTGGAGGACAGCGGAGTTGTTCGGTTAAGCTGGTTTGTTCACTTTTGTAGTGACTGAGAAAACGAGATCGCATTCACTTCATTCGGGGGTCGCGCATCCTACACGCGAACACTCATTCACTCTATTCGGGGGCCGCGCATCCTACACGCGGACGCTCATTCATTCCGTTCAATTCCGTTCGATTCGCTAGCGATTCCCACTTCGCTATTCTGTATTCTTTTCTTTTCCCTCCCTCCCGCCCTTTGTGCCGCTTCAGGCACCCCGCGGCACCTCGGAGTCCGTTCATCTTCATTCCGTTCTCCTTCATTCCTGTCTCCCATTCACTTTCACACTCTCGTGTTTTCGTGTCCTCATTTCACACTCGCCCATGCAGCTCCTCGCAGTCATTTTCTTTGCCTTTCTCGTGCTGCATAGTTGCACAATTTGCGCGATTGACTGTCTGGAGCTAGTGGGCTAGTATGAAATGCTGGCCGCCAGGCAATACTACAAAAGTCGCGTTCGTTCATTATTAGGCAAAAGGGATCAAATATTAGAGAACGCAGACAACGAAAATGCTTCAGATTCTACCTCAGATATTAGACCGCGGGTTCAAATTTCACTGAATAGGTTGATATTGAAATGTATGTTAGTTTCTCTTTCATTATAAGTACTATAGTGTACTAGTGCATGGATGTTGATGATGCGCAAATGACGGCTCGACCAGACAACATGTTAGAGTCATTCTCTGTTTACGGACAAAACTACTGTTCCTAGGCTGTATCGAAAAGAAATAGCGTGAAGTTTGGATACGTTGCTCTTGTGTGAGTGCTCTTCTGCAGAGCATTCGTTCGGAAAACCGAAAACTTTGGACGAAGAGTTACCATTTTCGAGCTCTTTATCGAACGGCAGACGTTAGGGAACTGAGTTGTTGTTTACCTTTAACTAGGTAATAAATAGACGAAGTTCCTATTCTGGCTAAAGCTTAGCCTTCGATTGAAAGCAGCAAAAGATTTTGGCTTTGAAAATGGTGAATCCGAAGCGGCACACAAATGGAGTCAACTTATCAGAGAAGTGTAGACTTTGCATGCACGCGAAAAAGACGACTTTATGACCAAGATCGCTCACGATATGTGACTGGTGCATATGTAGTATTTGATTGTTCCCTTGTAAGAAAGCGGACGTGGAGGAGAACACCAAAAAATCATGTACAACTGGGGAACAGGTTTTACTTATTATTCCTTCTTGTATGTAAGAAAGCTGACGATCGATCGACTTCAATGTTGAATATGAAGAGCAAGAGATCATGTCCACCTTTGCCGCGACGAACGATATACGGATTAGGAGGCGTGATGTGACACCTGTGTGAGGCGCTGGAATTATATGCGGGTTTCTGCGGCGATAGCTAACTTCGGACGTTTCCGGCGACAACCGACGGGTCGTTTGCAGTTTGTTCGGGGTAGATTCTGGAACTCTCCCCAGAACAGCCCCATCAACACGAGCTTGCGTGTCGCATTACGGTGCTTCGAGCACCAGTTGTTTCAGCGCAGATGGTTCCCGACCTGGGCAGCTCGGATCGTGAAAAGCTCTAGAAAGCTACATGAAAAGACTGGAAGCTTTCTCTTCTATTTCCGAATGAAGAGCATGGAAGTGGCAACGGTGCTTGCGTGTCGACCCGAGGGAGCGCTGAGAGTGTGTGCGCCATAGGAAGTTCAACTGCGGGGTCCTAGCAACGGTGCGTCACGAAGGTACTGGGTGGCCTAGGAAGAGCGAAGAGCCTTGTGGCTTGGAGCGCGTGTGGCTTGGGCTTCCTCAAAAATCTCTACACGATTGGTGAGCAGTTTTGCTTTCAGGCTTTCATTATCGGGCTCATTTCTCGCGGCTGCAGACGCTAGTCCAAAACTTGCACTTATCAACCGGCGGGTCGGCTCTACTCACTCCTGCTGGAGGCCGCGGAGTTTGGCTCAGTGTGCAACGGTTGATGGGCTCCGCTGCATTCATCGTTCGGGAAAGCTCATCGGGGGACGCGAGACTGTACATCCCTAGAACGCAAACTAGCGAGTGTACATCGATATTTACTCTCTTGTCATACTCGTAACTAGATGAGGAGATAGAGCTTCTGTATAGATCGAACACACTCAAGTATAAATAGGCAACTATATTAGTGACGAAAGCATTATCCTCTAGTGGTCTCAACTGTCTGGTGCTGAACAACTGCAATCGTGTCTATTGCCCAGGTAGAATGAAAATGAATGAGGTCGTAGATGCCTGATGCTTCCAAGATGCGGCAGCAGAAGAAAATGTTTCCAAGAGCGCTTTGATATGTGAACCAAGACTGCTCTTACGTAATCCATTGATAATGGTGTGGAATGTTGGCGCCCGATGAAATAGAGGACGCGCTTGTGGAGGTCCCAGAGATTCTAGAAGTGAGACAGAACGACTCTAGGAGCACGGCTCTCACGCTCATTTACGTGGCTTGAGAGTACGAGCGAGCATTCCTTGAGAGTGAGTCGCATATTTATCGCCAGCGAAACAAATTGCTGTCGTCGACATGAGCACGAGAGACGAGAAGAGAGGACCGCGAGAGTTGAACACTGTCGCACACCGTGCCCCTCTAAGAAGTCGTGTCGAGTTTTCGTGAATTCGTGAAGGCGAGTGACTCTCTTCCGCTGTTGTTCTTGATTCACCAAATAATGGCTGTCCGCTTGCTGAAATCCAAAGAAACAAACCATACTACTACTCATGACCTCGACCACTTTAGGCTAAGAAATTAGCTGTCCTCAATTCATCTTCGGCTTCAATTTTGAAAAGAGAAATTGGGTAGTTAGAGGTGGGTAGAGATAGAGCAAACATCTTTAAGCTTGATACATTCATATTCTACGAAACGATGACTGACTCTGACGAAGAGCGTAGCTCGAGTCCGACGCGGTTCCATGGTTATGCGCAGATGACTGAAGAGGGGCAGAGGTCGGTCTGCTATGGTAGTCGTGACAGAAAGCATTACAGCGGCCATGCGCGCGAGCCTATGTCAATACTGGCGGAAAGCAATTATATCCGAGGGCAGAAAATTGTGGGTCGCTATGCCGCCTGCTGCTCGATTCCAAGGCCCCTCGTAGGTACTCAAAAGGTCATACTTTTTCTTTGCGTAGACCACTCAAGAAAATCAGAAAAACCAACGTTCATCATTCTGCTCTTGTGCACACTCACAATTACTTATCAAAAAATGGAGTAAATATTGTTTGTAGTTCTCATTTCTTCAAAGCGCAACGCTCCAGGTCCTCTCCTCGAACCGCAGATCCGCATTCTCTCCGACAGCCTGCGGCTTACTTCTGGCCGAAATATGATGACGTTTGCCGAAAGAGCATACAGCGGCGGACAAAAGGAGCAAGGATACGCTTTCGATAAGACTGGGTACTTGACGATGGAAGTACTAGAGACCATAGACTTGACAAAACGCATGATATCAACGTAAGGACCAGAGATAGGCGAAGATGCCAATCATTCATCATACACCATTTTTTAATACTAGAACTTCTCTAGGTCACAAATCATAAGTATACGTGTGGTGTCATATTATTTACGAATGCTGGCCCTTGCTGCATCTACTTCCCAAAATCAAAGTATTCAAAAAACTCACTTTCGTTACTTCTTTGTTGAAAAAACTGATAACTTTCAGTTACTGGTGAAGATGAACAAGACACCATTAACCCCTAACGAACCATGGTCACAGATTATTGGGCATGCATCAGCGCGTACCGCTTTTACCTTTCCGTGAAGACTTCCATTGCGAGTCGCGAGTTGCTCACAGTTTGTTGGGCTTGCATCAGCGCGTGCCGTTATCTCTTTGTGCAGCGAAGGACGAAGACGCTTTTGCCGAATCACGAGGCCGGAGCCGCGCAAAATCCACAACTTTTAAGGCTTCAGTCCTATATTACGACTCCATCAACAACCCTGGGTCCATTAGCTCACTACCATTTATTTGGTTTTTACTGAGTAGGTAGCCATGTCGTGCGGTTTTTCAAAAGGTGTTATGATAGACAGATGGAGCCACAAGTAGGATCTGGCTAACATCAGTCGCAAGCAGAAGAGCTGCAGCCACGTTTCTCGGGGTGTTGTTGCGGAAAAGGCGAGGAGGGTGCGCTCATGCAGTCGGCGCTGTTCTGTTATTATGCAAAGCACTTCTTTGGGAGCAAAGTAGATAAATTTTGATGAACTTCATACTTGACAAATCAACTTCTACTTCATCAATATTTTCTTATACCCGAAGTTTTGTAGAGGACTGCAAGCCTGTTGATCCAGTAAGCTGTTACTCCCGTATTTTCGGACTAAAGATTGACTCCACCAATTCGATTTCATACGCTTACATACACCAATACGGCCTCTAACTTTGTTGCGGTCGGTCTCGCGTCTCGTCTGGCCATAGCCTTACACCAGGACCCGAAGAAGCATGGCACAAAGATACCAGCGTGGACGCAGGCCGATCTATCTGATGTTGAGGAGGCTGACACTGACGTCGAGGTTACAGGTGACGCGTCTTATGTGGTTGTGGACAGCAGTGGGCCCGCGTCTGCATCGTATCTCAGCCCCGGCGAACCGGGGGCTTCGCCAGACTCTGTCACACGCAATCAAGGTACGCAGTTTTCGGTTCTTGTTTCGACCTAATAAATTAGAAACTTCGTGAGCGTTTAGTGCAACAGACTGCTCACAAACGAAGACCTTTGTCGGATACAACGAAAATGCATACTAACAAACCTTGAAAATATAGCAGCACCTTTTTTCCGATCTACAGTCATACTTCAGGTTCCGACACCGCAGGGACGGCATCAGGAGAACCAGCTGCATTCACGGTTTCTTCTTTCGCAGAAATGCGGGAGCCGCAAGGTATTTCTACTTAGCAGAAATCTGTTGGAAGATCTTTGTATAGGATCAACATGGAGACGAGAGACAAACAGACGACACACGACGACACACCACAAACACAAACGAAGTTTTCTACTGCGAGCCGCTTGGCCCAAGACCAAAGTATAACTCTCCCAGGAGAGTCATTGGAGCCCCCCACTACCCATTTGCCATCCCCGTAAACGCTTTGTTTTGTCTCTAATCTAGAACATAGTTCCACGCTAACGCTTGCTATGTGTTGTGGCTCCTAGCTGTTCCATCTCGTTTCGTGCCTCGTTTCCCTTCAGTAGTGACAATCTGAAAACTTAAGGCAGAAAAGTACAACGGTTCTCGCCTCGCATTTTTTCAGGTCTTGACTGGTTGAAACGCTGGCAAATTTCGAGCATGTATTCCACACCATTGACGCCAATAACTACGCGCCATTTTCTTATTCAATTTTTATAGTCCACAGATTTTGCGAATCTGTTTCATATCGTGGAAAAGTGAGAAACAAGCGCGGAGGCACCGCGATCGCCAGAGGTGGGGCGAGCTACATTTACACCGCGCCATCTTACCCAAGCCTCCCTCGTGAGCTCGAAGAAGGTCCCGCTGCTGGCCTGAAATTGGATCGGGAACGTACAGAAAAGGCTGACGGCAAGGCCTTCGAAATTGCCTCTGCTTCTCCCTCGTACGTTGCACAAAGTAGAAACTCCATCTACCAGTGGTCTAGCGGTCGACCTTCTCGAACGTCCCAGCGCAGCGATGTCCGCGAAACTTGAGGGGAGCGGACACAGCCGCAAAGCTTGGCGAGCCATTCTGTCCGAGCTTCAAGACGAGGGCGACCACGTCGAAGAACTACAGCCGGAGCAGCCGCCTCTTGGACTGCTTGGAAAGCAGCAACGACAAAGCCTGAAGCCCCCAGCGCTGAAGTCTAGCCTGAGGCTGGCTTGTTTCGAAATTTCAGCAGTTACAGCTGACTGCGCAGGTTACGACTTGACGCAGCCTGCCTGACTGGTCTGCTGCTATTCGGCTATTCGAAATCAGACCGAGGCCCCTTCAGAAGAGCATCGGCGAGAGAACTCTCTCAATGGTTTGCCAAAGGGTTCAGAGGTATTCCCTGCAAATTATTACTCTCCACAAAACGGGACGGAACTAAAAGCGCTCGCATTGTTTGTTTGGGTTATATGGATAAAATTAGCGATCCCGCCGGACCTTATGCAGAAGCTCCCGGCTTATGTATTATCCGCATGCGCTTGTGTATTGCATGTCAGTGCCCCGCCGTCTTCTTCTTGCCATCTGCTGCGATCCCTGTTATTGATGTCGACGGACCTAGATAAACGACTCCAAGAACTTTGAGGCTATAGATATGGCGTAGCTCTATATGCTCTGAATGGTTTACGTTTATCGCCACGCGCTTGGTCAGATCGTAGAGATAAGATAGTAACTAATGCAATCTATGTGGGCCAACCGCTTGGCAAAAAGGGGGCGTCCTCCTCGTAGTGTTTGTCGATAGTTTTTGGCTCTTTGGTCCAAGCGCTCAAGTTCTGAAACTACATGAAGAGCTTCGCCCCCTTTTAAAGCTAACACCTGAGAAAGTCGCTAAGAATACGACACAGGAGACATGTGACTTATCGGGCATCAAGATTATTCGAAACTTGAAAACTAATGACTTCACTCTATCACAAGAGGACTACGCTAATAAAATACTCGGGAGACTTGGTGGCGAATTGGGTAGGCATTTCGCTACTCCTTTACTTCAAGCGCCTAATCCGTCCACGCCTGAAGATAAAGAGCTACGAAAATATAAGCAAGAGCGCACTGGCTGCCTTCAGTACTTAGCAAGTGCTACCCGAATAGATCTCGCGACTCCTCTGAAGCTTTGCGCAAAAGCTAAAGCGAGCTGCGAATCTATTCTAGCCCTTTAGCGTGTAGTGTACGTAGATACTTACTAAGAACTCGAAGGGCTTTGAAGTATGTCAATCGTAGTAAACAACTCCAAGGCAAGCGGATCCTTACTGTCTGGGCAGATTCTGACTTCGGTGGAACTATTGGCAGAAGAGGGAGCTCAGGCATTGTAGTGAATTTGAGTGGAAATCTTAGATATTGGAAATCTAACACGCAGAACAATGTTGCTACATCAGTGACTGCGCCTGGGCTATACGGTAGGACAGACGGAGCCAAGGCCATTCTACGTTTTTGCCATGTTTTCACATCACTACAGGGCTGGCTCAGTGTTTTTTCTCCGGGGCCAAGAATACTCTTCCCGCTACCTTTGAAAGCTGACAATGATCAGGGAGGCCTTGAGGATTCTAGAAATAAATCCGGAGCAGCTAGCAGACTAGAGCGCTTAGACATTAGGAAGCGCTTCATGCGAGACACTGCAAGTAGGAATATTGTGCGACCATTATGCCCCCCATCTGCTAGCAACAAGGCCAATGGGCTAACGGGAGTAGTTCTTGGCAGAGATTTTCTCAACTTCTTAGAAATGAATAGAATAAGAAAAATAGTGCCAGAGATAGGAAATGGCTGAAGACCGCTGAACACGGAGCGCGGGGGGCTGCTGTAAGGTGGGCCTGAATTGAAATGCTCGCAGTAGGAAAATCTGCAGCAGTCTGCTCCTTTGTGTCCCGGTCGAATCAATTAGACCAGCACAGAAGTGGAACGCTTTTCAATCAGTCTGAACCTCATGGATTTTGTGCATGATAAAAACCAAGAACCCAACACATGCGCACGCATGTGCTGACGAGCTTCAGCCTCCCCTACATACTGACGCCAATATAATTGCGCGCGCTCCTTATCCATACAGGATACTGCTAAGGGGCCTCAGTGGCTTTTTTATTGGTATCCTTTTGGCTGATATTCAACAAGTTCAAAAGTCACAGATTAGCGCCCACCCTTCAGCTTTTTCTTGTGTTCTCTTTTTTAAATACGGACGAGAAAGAAGGAGAAACATAAAAAGAGCTTCCAAAAGCTCTTTTGTCGGCTTTCTTGCTCTAACTCTTCGGCGCATGGTGTTCGCCCTCACTGGTCTGGTGTGGCCTGGTTCTGTGCCTGGAGATCAGCCCCGACGAGTGATAGCACAAGTGGCGCACCAACCAGGTACGTGCCAGCTTGTACATTTGTCGCCTGTCAGGCCCCCAGGCAAGCAGGCCAGGCTCGTAGCTCGGCAGTTTCGGCGCGTCTCAAAGTTTAGGCTTTCTGATACGTTGTGGGAGTAGCCTCTATTTTTGTTTCGTGTAAGGGTTCGCTGAGAGTTGTGGCCGTGGGTGGCTTTAGACTTGGAAGAAAGTCCGGGGCCGTCATTCGCGATCTTCAGGAAGTCTTAAGCCACATGGTTAGCGAGGTGCCATTAAGCTAGGAAAAAGGCTACAGGCTGTAAGTCTTCGCTTTCTGCAAGTGCTTTCTTCGCAGGCCACCAGATGGGCTGGCTCTAGTAAGTAGCTGACTGGTGTTAGTGTTATAACTAGTCAGAGTTAAACGCTTACAATGCCGGCGCTTACTAGTAGGGGTTATACTCTTAGTAGCTTTCTAATTAAAACTGTCTGGTTGCTAGTTAGCCAAACAGTTACCAGGGAAAGTTAGACAGTTGCTGCCTTAGTTAAAATTGGACAGCTACTAGATAAAGTTAAGGGCTGAAGAAATGCGTCTTCACGGTCATCCTGGAAATTCTGCTCATGTGTTTTCTTTTAGCTTAGTAATTGAAGGAATCTAGTGGGAGTAGAGTGCTGGCCTTCCACTTTCGGCAACCATGCACATCTTACGTTGAAGCGCGTCGTGTCTGTATAAGTAACCGCTTCGGACTCTGTGAAAGGGACGAATACTCGAGAGATGTTTCTGCTTTGTGAAAGAAGCAAAGCGAGTAGATGTTCAGGCTCCTTGGCTTAGTTCAAGTAGGCCTGGATAAGAATTAAGTAGTAGCAAGGACTACTGGGCAGTGATACCTCCGAGGGAGGGAAGCGCCATGAACAGTAGGAAATGAACAACGTGAAACACTAGATCAGTCGTTCTGTGGTTTAGAAGAGCAATCTAGGGGAAGTTATTCAAGAAGGAAAGGCTCATGGAAGGTTTGGCCAAATAAGCTGCCTACGATAGATTTGATCGGGTCCTGAATCTCGAGGGGAAGCCCTGGAGTAGTAAGGATGGGATGATCTAGGCCAGGTGACTGAAAGGTTGCGAGACCTTAGCAAACCCTTTGGTGGGTTTAAGACATGAAAGAAGAATAGAATTGTTGGTATCTGCGAGGATACCAGGCGAACTTCCTGGAGACGGGAAGGGGCTAGGATTCACTCGGTATTTGGGCACCTTCGCTGTAATGGTGATAGGAATATAAGTACCACCGGGCGGAGCTTTTAAAAGGATGGCTCCGACGCCTCACTGCGTAGGGGGGGCAGTGTAGGACCTGGCCCGGGTGTAAACAGGGCGGCCCTTCGTGAAGAAGTGCGCCAATAACTCCAAGGAACAAACGATGAGTGACTAAATACCCTAGGCGGCTGCTGCCGAGATCGACCCGGTAGGGCGGCTGTCATTATTAGGACTAGAGGACTTGGAGGATCAACAAGAGACTCCGACTGCAAGGCGGCGCTGTGAACAACGCTTAGGTGTTGCCTCAGCTACCAAGCTGTAGTGTGGGCCTCATAGGGGGGCTGATTGCGGATCAGTCTCGTTCCCCATTTTGTAATTAGGAAAGACGCTTGAAGGTGAAAACCAGCATTGTATCTAAACCTAACAAACACATAATCAAGTGGCATGCTGATTCTATGAGTACCTCCCCGCTATTTACCTGAAAGCCCTACGCATGTAAGAAGAAGAGCCACCTCTCACACCCACCGACGGACGCGGGGTGGTATTGTGGATTGTCAAGGATATGGCAAAGCGCCGCTCTAGTGGAATGGGTGGAGTTGAGCCACGTCTGAACCTGAGAAGAGTCGAAGGGAGCTCCTTCAGGCGGTTTCATACATTGGCAGCGCTCTGCTGGCTGGGGCTGAAGAATTACAGAAGAGCGACACGGCTCGCAACGAATCTCGGAACAGCAGACACTTCCTCTTTTTTGAAATGATTGCAGCATAGAAGTACACCCTTGCAAGTATCAGGCGTGCCCTTGATTTGGAAGCTAAGCACTTTGCAGCTATATCGCTGAAGAGTAGAGGGCCACGAGATGCGGCTGCGCTGGAGATTTGGCCGAGGTGGTGCCATGCTTGCCGATGTTGCCGCAGGAATGGCTTTCATCAAGGTGCGCATCTCCTGAGGAGATTTTCGCACAGAAGGTTAGGGTCTTTGAGGAAGTGAGATGGCGGCGATGAAGGGTCAGGCTGGGAAAAGTGGTTGCGCGGATGGTTATACGACACCGACGGAGTGCGCGGCACGTCGGTGGTAAGCATACTGGGGCTGATATCGCGTGGCTGCTGGTGTCACTAGTGGCCTGGCGCTTGCGGGGGATCGTCGTGTTCGGTGTGGTAGCTTGTGTGTGGCAGTTGGGGCCGTAGTCCAGGGTGCTTCACATTGCAGCAGGCTGTAGCTTTCAGCAGCTTGCCCTGAAGCGTTTGGGGCTGTGCTCGGCTTCGTTCTTCGAGTGGCGGGCGAAGCGAGTCAGCGTTGAGAAGGGTGCGCCCCTGGGTGGCTTTCTACATTACAACTGGAAGGGCCGCTGGGGTTTGGCTCCGACGTACAACGTCCTGCGCTGCGACGTTCTCGGTAGCATTCTGAAGCTCAGCTCCGTGCTTGGGTGGGGTGTTGGAGTGAAAGCCCCAGGGATGTAAGGGTCGGGTGTTGGGCTGGTCGCTGCTCGGGGGCCAAGTTGCAATAAGCGGGGGCCAGAGAAACTCTAGCAGCAAGAGCGCTCTGCGTGTGATGTGTGGCGCACCGCTCTCGTCGGCTCCGCCGAGACTTCTGCTTTTCAGTTTCACTGTTTATGCGGTTATTGTCGCTTTGGAGTAATACCATGATGCAGGTTCGCTCTCATTATATTGCCGTAAGCTTCCATGGGAATAGGCTAAAACGTGTGGCCATTATAGCGCAACAGAGTAGCTCTATTTGGATGGTCGCCCGCATTATCAGTAACGTGAGGACTTCTGGGTAGGAGTAGGATCAGGCAAGCAGGTGATATCTTCGAAGAAATTAGATATACGCGCCTTCTTTAGCGGTTGCGGAGCAGCGTGATCCAATAAGGAACCAGCAAAAGACCTGCACTCAGGTAACTTAGAAAATCTATCACGTCGCCCTTGCTCGTGATATTCGAAATTATCGCAACAGGAGCGCCTATGGAGTCGGAGATGGGGAGCGGAGGCTTTTTGGCACTGTTTCGCTTCGTGGAGCACTGACGGCTTCCAGCAGATCAGTCGCAACACCATTCAAGGGCCTAGACAGGGGCTCGCTGTAGTGTGTCAGGCTGTATGGGCATTGTTGACAAGTTTGGACATAGGGTAGAACGGGGTAGGGCTAGGGGGTGAGGCAGTAGGGCGCTGATGGACAGGCCTGATAAGCATCCTCATGTGGATGCTGATGAGCAGTCCATAAGTTTGGTCTTGGTCGTTCCATCAAGAGTGCAAGAATCTGCACGGAGCAGCTAGGCTCGCATAAGTGCTCGCCGTTTTAAGTCTTTGAACATGCACAACCAAGAGCACAACCTCCATGGGAACCGCATATAAATGCGGGCCAGCAGCTACCTGCGTCTACTTGAGTGAAGAGGGGCGTAGCGAGTGCTTCTCTTTGGTGCAAGCATATAGAAGAACGCCCTTGCAAATTGACTAGGCACAGAAAAAGGCGAAGAAGAAGCACAAAAGTGAAAAGAGTGGCTATCTAATGCTGAAAGCGGTGAGTTGGTTAATTGTGTACATATGTAGGCTGCTTTTAAAATTGGGGCGCTTATCTTTAGAACAAGCGTCGCCATGTCTTTGAATGGAACAACTTGGACCATGAGACTGAAACAGCGACCAAACTCTTCCACCATCCAAATCGCAACCACCTTAGCGCCTTTCTACTGTTGTCTACAGCAGCAAAGTCTTCAAAAGACTCGACGAGTATCTCCTTCAGGATGCCGGGCAATCAGCAGCAAACAGCTCGAGGAAACCGCGCCGCCCTTGGGAAAGTCACGGCTGGGCGCGCTGCGGCGTCGCTATAGATGCCCTCGAGGGCTGTGGCAAAGAGTATCCTTCAGACCCCTGCTTCGCTGATCTTCAAGTGTTTGAAGCAGGCGATGCAAGTGGCAACTGAAGAAGAAGAGGCGGGGTTACTCTCCTTGTGTCCACGCTTTGCCAGACAGCTGCTCGGGGTGAAGGTGGCCTCGAATTACCCGAGGCCGCTCCACCTCGACAGCTTCCCGAAGTCGGGAGCCCATCGCCTCCAGACGATCCATCACGAGACAGGACGCGTCGCGGATAATTACGCGGAAAGCAAAGCAAAGGCACTAAATTAGTACGTTTTTGCTTTTAACTTCTCCACTGTTCAGTCTTTCAGCTTCTTAGTCAGCTACTGTCTCATGTTCGCTCATAAGGTCTTGCTTCTAAATCACGGCAGTCGCATGTGTTAGCTTTACTACAGAACAACCTAAAGAAAAAGGCTCAACGTCAACTCTTTCTCTTGTATTAACCTTGAAGGCAACGGCTTCGAGAAGAAACAGACGAACATGCTGGAGAGTGCGTCTGACGAGCGCACTCTTCGACGCTGGTGGATGTGGGTACAGAGCCAAACGGGTGACGTCGCTGCTCTCAAAACTCTCTGGGATGAGTATGCCGCCAATTACCCCCGTGGTGAAGTGATGCAGCAGATCTCCTTCGCAGGCACGTCACCAGGCCAAACCCAGGACCAGAACCCTACTGGGGGACAGATTCGACCATCCTGGCTGAGCAACAACGACGAGCGCCGTACTCTATCGCCTTAATATACTTTGATCTCGTTTGAGCTTGTGTGTGTAGTCATTGGGTGCTGGTCTTTTTTAGCGATTCTTGGCTTATCTATCAGAGTACACCCGAGAAGGCATGTTCTATCATCCCCCATGACTCGTCGTCTATTCTTCAATCCACGCACAGCTTTGATGCTGGGCACCACTGCAGATTCTCAGCGTGAGAGCTTGGCGCCTTCAGGCGCATCCAGACGCTCCAGCTCCGCTATGCCACCAAGTGCCCCTTCTTATACTCCTCTGCAGACTATGATCTTGGCCAACCGCGGGGCCGTCTCTGCCCTTCGTGGACAGCAGCTCAACTTCGAGGCCATGAGTGAGCCACAGCAGAACGCTAATCAACAGGGAACAGCGCAAGTCGGAGGGGGTTCTTCCTCATCTTCGTCAACGAGTGCGGGTAGCTTCGCTGGGCCTCAGGGTGCTGCTCGTTCGCAGAGCGTTTGCGCGCCGGTGATGACTCCGCGAGGTGAGGGCACTAACCCATCATCAGCTGCGAGTCTACTCATTAGTGGCCTTTCTTCCGCAAACCGCGGAGAGGTCTTTAGCCAGCTGCTCGAGTTGTTGGCGCCGAAGAGTGGCACTACATACAGCGTAGCTAGTAGATGTCTGTTTGCGCTGTGCTTGATCTAAATACACAGTGCCCAGCTTGAAAATGATGCTTCTAAACTATCTTCCACTAATCTAAAAGCCTCAAACTCAACGCAGAGGCTCAACGGCGAGCGGAAGAAGACCAACGACAGGCCACGAGAGAGCAGGAAGCGCGGCGATTGATCCGCCAGGTGACCTCCGGCATGTGCCCGCCATTGCCTGAAAATGGACTACCTGGCCATGGGCCTCCTCGTGAAGAAGGCCCTGCTCTGAGTGCTGCCCCGGCATCGAATGCAGCTCCTGCTCCTGGATCATTGCGCCGCGATTGTTTATTTAGATTATTTAGTTCTTTAGAAACCAATCACTCTCGTCATCACTTGATCCAGCTTTCGTCTTTACCTTTCCGAAAACAGGCACCTGTCAGCCAGAGGATGGCCAAGGCCTCTCACCACCACAACGGATGCGACGCTCTACAAACGGCCAGCGAAGCGCTATCTCAGCAGGTCGAGGCCAATCCCAGCGCGTGACGCTCGAGTCCTCGGCTCCCAGTGGTCCAACTGGTGACGTAGAGACGGCGTCGCCGCTGCGTGATCGCACAGGGCAGAACCATGATCCACTAGGGCCTGCTCGTTTGGGAACTCCAGGTCGTGCCCCGCCAGTGCTTGCCAATTTGGTCACGCCGGCACGTACGAATGCGCGTACCCCAGGCAGACTCGTGACCGACACCACTGAGGAGGAGGACTTCACGCTGCCGCCGCCATGAGTTGCGCAACAGGTCACTCCTACTGGCCAGGAGGCGGAACCCGTCGGCGAGAATCAACCACCTGCTGACGCGGTTCTCCACAGCCCACCGGCAACGGCGAGACCACGCGCAGCATCTCCTTGAAGAGAGACTCGGCCGAGTCTTGGGAGCAGACTGCAGAAGATGGCGCGCGATGGACCGCGGATGGGATGCAAACTTGGCTGTCAGGGAACATCCTCCAAAAAGCCAGTGCGTCTGCACCTCCGCCGCTTCCTCCAAGTGCAGATGGCATGCAGGTGACGCCCTCCAGCGATGGAGATGGAGCTACCGCCTCCACCGGATTGCGGAGCGGCCGCTACTCATCATCATCGTCGTCGTCTGGGAGTGGCGTCGCGTCAGCCGTTGGAGCGCCGAATGTAGTATCTGGTCCAGCGCTGCTTGATGGAGTTGGTCTTGAAAGCGATCAAGTGGGCGAGTTCATGCAGCAGCTCCAAACGACTGACATCTTCGGAACAGGCAACGACATGCAGCGATCTCGTCGACGAGGCAGTGCACCAATGCCGGACTTGAACGTCGATGAGGCCTTCGAGTTCTCCGATGATATCAGCGACGTGAGCCCCGAGGAGATCGAGGAGGCCACTCACGATGCGACTGCCTCGGCGCTCCGTGGCGGTAATTCGCTCCTATGAGGAGGACGCTGCGGCGGCATCGGAAGAGATGAAGGAGAGGAGACAGACAACAGTAGAAGGCGAGATGGTGCGTGGGGCTGCTCTACTAAGAATTTGATGCGCATAGGAAAACCGTGCGTGCGTGGAGTAGTAGTAGCAGTCTCGCACGTTTCTGCTCTTTCAGGAGCGACCAGTCATCGTTTTTTTTGCATAGAGCAGGTCAGAGGCTCTTTTGATCCTGGGCGTTTCTTTTCTGTTTCTAAAAAAACGTCGACTGTGGAATCGTTTTTTTTTTTACTGACGCTCAAATATAGCAGGGCTTGTCTTCTGGAAGTCTGACGTCATGGCTTTGCTTTTTTTGCAGGCACAGAAATCGAGACAGACTCTGCAGCACATTGATGGCCGATTGCGATGAAGGAACTTTTTGGACGAGTGAAAAGAACAGTGACGAAGAGCGTGCTCGAGGGTGTCGGATGGTCTACAAAGCTCAGTCTGGGCAATCAAAGAAGACGAGGGCAATCGGTTCGGGCTCCTGTATCTGTGTCGGAAGGTCGGCGCTTCTCTTTGCAGCGTCAGCGTCTGTTCTTCTGTGCGCTCTGGATAGGTTAGAAATCAAATTAAAGCACCAAAGAAAGCAGAGTACATACCACGGCGGTACGGTGTGAAGATGTCGACGATTCTCAGACTTAGCAGTGCGCGCAAGTCGAGCCTCGTAGTAGGGCGTAGAGGTGACTGAGCGGGCACTCGGTGGCGAGACTTGTTTTGTGCCGATCCCGTTCTATCTCCTAGGCTTACCGCCCGACCAAGTGCCAAAAGCACGGGGAGAGCCTCTCAGGCTAGGAGCTGACTACGATTCAGACCCTGGCGAGAATGTGGAGGCCGAGTCGAAGAACTGGCGACGCCGCGGAGAGACAGCCGCCGCGCTTTGTGAGGCTTTTGAGCACTCTGCTGGACCAGCGTGCGTCGTTCTCAGATCTTTGGCGGACGGTGTACAGGAGCCACACTCTAGGAGGCGACCAACATCCTTGGAATGAAGTCGACGTCAAGGACACAGCAGGAATAGACCTGATCAGCGTCAGCGGCCTCATCAGCGTGATGCGGTAGCAGGTCAGTGCCAGAAAGAGGACGAATCGCAACTCCGAGCGCACTCCTCACGCGAAGTTGGCTAATTGCTATGCTGGTGCTTTCTATAGCCTTTCGCCGCAGCTGGTTTCGAAGTGCCGCTGGGGCGTGGCGTTTACTCTAGCACCAGCGTGCCATGCCTATTGCGATTGTCAGCAGCCCCGTCGCCTTCGGATATCTAGAGGCCGGATGCGGTATTTGAACTAGGCCAAGCTTTGCATTTAGACTCGGACGTGGCGACGTTTTCCAGTCACCTCTGACCTTCTACCTTGTTCTGTTACCTTACAGATGCAACACATTTCGCAACCTCGTCAAGTGCGCCGCTCTGAAGTGCAACAAGTTGGCCCTTTCTCCCCTTCTTCCACTCTGGCCACACCTCTAACGCCCTTTGCTGACTTGATTGGCTCTTCGGTGGTGATAAACGCGCAGGCGGATCCGGTGATACCTGAAGCACCACAGCAAAGCCGTTCGCCAGCAAAGTTCAACTCGGCCCATCTCTTCAGCCCAGTTCCGTTTTCGACCAGTACAGCAGCCGCAGCTGGAGAAAGCTCCAACGCCAATGACAGCAGCAGGCTGCTTGAGGAGTTTGGTAGCATCGCGAGTGGGGAACTTCGCCACAGCGATCTATCTCACTTTGCGCAGTTTTTTGGATCCATCTGTAACGCACGAGCGCGCGTTGGAGTGGGCGGAGGCGCTTGCTACTCTATACTATGGCAAGAAGGAAGGCGGGGCGAAGACTCTCGCTGCTGGATGCTGCAGGTCGGTTAGTAGCGAGGGGAAGAAGGTGCAGGCTTCGGGCATGGAGCTCACCTGCGAAGAGGTGGCGCTCGCATTGCAGAAAGCCGAAACTGCGGCCACAAGAAAAAGCAAGAAGAAAGGGCCAGCGCGACCCATCACGGCGGCGCAGGAAAATGCTCAGCCTAAGAGGCAGCCGAATAAGAAGGAGAAGAGGAAGGCAGCAGCGGCTCTTCTGTTGCGGGTGCCTGGTTTAGGTGGTGCGGCTCGGCGCGAGGTCGTCGCAGAGGACAGTGGCAGCAGCTACATTGACGACGAAGAGGAATTGCTGACTTTTGTGTTCAGATTGTGCACTTGTGTCTGTCGCTCAGGAAAAGAACTGCACTTGTTCACGACTGTGCGCCGCGTTAGATATCATATTGAATCCAAGCGGATGACCTGCGAGCCTTGTAGCGAAGACGACGATGAGCATCCATGTGGACTACAGGCTTGGGGATCCGCTTGATGGGGTGGACGACATGCCTAACCCACCGCCCCGGCCGACAGATCTGGCGACGCAGCTGATTAAGTCTGCGCTTTTGGGGCCGAGAAGTCAGGAGCTGGAGAAGGCGAGGCTGAATTGGCACCGAGAAGATGGCGACTTGATTGGTCTTCATGCTCATGAATGCGGTCGCTGGTATCGTCTGAAATGTGCAGGATGCAGGAAGATCCTTGGCAAATGTCGCAGATGTTGGATGGACAAAGGGAACGGGCCGACAGCTTTTGCCACCATGATGGGCCAACGCCGCGAGATATCTCTTGCGCTTGGACCTTTGCGACACATCAGACGATCTGCGAAGAGCGCACCTGTTCCGCGTTGTCTATGCGGCTACTGGTGGCTGGGAGCGCTTTTTTCTGATATCGAATGCACAAAAAAGGTTGGGAAGCTTTGTCTTTGGTGGTGTGCAGAGCACTGGCTGCGAGCACGTTTGCGTGCAATGGGCGGCAGTCCATGCACCTGTGAACCAGGTCAGTGGTATAAACGCACAGAGTTAAAACTTTTGAAAAAGGCTGACACTTTTACTGCCCGCCGATCTGAAGACGCATGATGCGGGTGGAACATGATAAGCCCGCCCTTCCCAGTTTCTACATAGTGAAAACATTGAGCGCAGCTAGATCGTCATAATTCCACGGCTTTCAGTGAAAATTATTAGCCATGCCATCTTCCTCACGTCTGATTTCTGACATATCGCTACAACTTATCTGATCGCTACGTACTATTTTGCTTTGAAATTTACAGGCTTCAGATAATCCTTCTAATCATGGCAATCGCTTCGCATGTCTTCTATCTCATACCTTAAGCGAGCAGTGCTACAAATTTCTCGGAGTACATGACGGAGACGACCCCTAACACACACAGACCGACCCACTTTTTTGGAGCTATTCAGCCGACTACTTTTTTGCAGGTCCATGAGCATACTCACTAATAGACATTACTGAGGCGTCGCCACTTATTTCCGTGTCATGTTTTAGGTCAAGAAGTCCCTCCATATAACTAGTGGCGTGCGATCCCACGACAGCGCT